GTGGATAAACCTCTGGTCTTTGACATGAGCCTGATGGGAAACCAGAGTATAGACAAGTTGCTGCTGGCTGTTCAGTTACTCTCCATCGAGCACAGGCACCTGCAAGGTGACTATTGTAGGATATCTTGGACAGATTAGACATGCTGGGCTCAAATTTCTAAGAGCGCTGGTGAAATGGCCAGGGCTGGTACTGGTACTGGTCCTCTGATGGGAGGCTGTTGTTTGTCTTTTGTCCTTCATAATTTTCTGATATTTTCTGTTTATATATCTAACCTACAGTGCATTGTAATGTTGATAGATAAATGGGACTTCAATACAACCCCAGTGCCAAAACAGCTGGAATTTTGTGTACAATTCAAATAAAAACATACAAATTATCAAACCTCTATAGGAGTTTATACGATAGAGTTATAAAATAATATGATTATTAAATTCATATTTCATTTACAAAAGAACATTAAAAACATATTAGAGGTTTAAAAGAAAAATATTAGCTAATTTTGAATTTGATGGCAGCAACACAAAAAAGTCAGGAGAGAGGCAGCAAACTGTTCAAAACTACTAAGGAGAATCGCCTGAAGCAACATTTTGTAAATAACTAGGTTAACTGGGCAAAGGTTAATAACATTTATTGCAGCAGCTGGTCTCCTCAGTTCCCAGATGCTTACAGATTCTTGCTGAAATGTTTGGTTTTTGTTGTTAAGTGTGTGTAAGTGTTAAGTGTAGAAGTCTATGTGAAAGCAAAAGATATAGAGAAAACATCAGGGCTCAACCAGGCAGGATCTCAGATATCACAGACACATGTTTATTCACTCACTGTAAATAAAACCAGTACCATGTTTAATCTTGGCCCTCGTGTCTGTTTGTTGCAGTTACAGATGTCATCCTAAGGGTGGAGTCATTGTTCTGTTGCTTTAACTTGCAACGGTGAGCAGCAGCAGCAGCAGCGCAGCAATGCAACAGAACATATTACTGGGGATATAATTTTTTTCATACAAATATGTAAAGAGATTTGTCTTTATGACCTAACAAAGGCAACAAATAAAACACAGTTTTCTTGTTGAGAGTCATCTGGTAGAAGTACACAGTACATTACAATTGAGCTGCTGCTTAACCTCCCAGCTCCCTCTTTCATAGTGTCCAGCTCCGTCGCCTCAACCACACAGAATATTTCCTGTAGTAACAACGTGTCTGAAGCTACTACTTCCTGCTGTGTGCTACATCAGAGAGAGAACAAGAGTGGAAAACATTCTGACCTGATTCTCCTTCTACCCACAGCTCATTTGTAAAAGCATGAAATTCATTTCTGAATAAAGCTTTGAATCAAACCGAGGAGTCCTCCTCTCACTGTTCCTGTGTGGTCAGTTTAACTTTTTCAGAGACAAACAGAGAAGTTTGACTCTTTCTTTTCCTCCTCACGCTAAACCTGCCTCCTCTTCTGTGTTTGTGTATATGTTGCATGAATGCTCACTTGATGACTTCAATTCAATTTTATTTATATAGCTCCAAATCACAACAACAGTCGCCTCAAGGCGCTTTATATTGTAAGGTAGACCCTACAATAGCTGATGGGGGTCTACCTTACACCTACAACAACTTCACAAGAAAAACTAGTATGTCTTTTGTTTCTCTGAAACTTTTACTTCTTTATAACAATCGACTCCTCTGAGTCTTTTTTCATTCATTTACCTACTTTTGGTTTCTGAGCTGAAGTAGCCTAATAGTGCTTAGTGTATAGTTATTATCTCCAAAGAGTAACTAAACTGTTTTATTAAGAACTCAATTAATTGGACTTTAACCGTTTGTCACTCCAATGCCACTTCCTCATGCTTCTAAATCTGGCTGCTCCTCTGAAGCAGTGGAGTCAAGCATAAGGCCCAGAGACCAGGATCGACCAGCAAGACTCTAAACTGGCCCACTGGAAATGTGTAGGAGGGCACAGATTGTGGATTTTGAACTGTATTTTTAATTATAACTGCATTGGATTTATGATATATGGATTTCCTGTTTAACCTGTTATGTTGGCTCTACTGGGACTGAATGAACATCATGTTTTACTCAGGAAAACTTGTGAGTGATACCATAAACTCACCAGGAAGGTGGTCACTGTTTTACTCCTGCCGGTTATTGCCTGGATCATGAAGACTTTCACTAGAAGGAGGACTGGGATCCAGTGGACACTGTGGATGACTTTGACTTTGCTGATTATCTTACATTCCAGGGAATTAACATCAACAGGCCAAGAACCTGGAGGGTGAACCTCTAGAACAAGCAGAGTCCTTCACGTACATTGGCAGTGTGATAGATAAGCACATTTAACCAGATGCAGATGTGATTATCAGGCCCAGATGAGGAAAACATCTGCCGACATACCAAACTGCATCAACACTTCTGACATGGAGACCTACAAAACCTGCCATGGACAAACTGAACATGGCAGTGCCTGAGCCAAACCCTTCCACCCCAAAACCTCAGCAACACAGCAGGTAGCACAATGGAAGAAAATAGTCTGAGATGAAGGTGGGATGACTTTGGTACTCCCTAACAAAGCCAAAAACACTAGAGACTCCCTCACTGGGAACCAATGAAGAAAGAGAAAGCAGGGACAACCATGAAACACTTTCCATCCAGTCAAGACCTTGTTCCAGACATCAAAGTGACAGAAGTGGGATCAAGACAGGTAGTAAATAAAACACAGACCGAGCTGGTGGGCAGGTGTAGATAGACCTTGTTCCATGAAGGAAAAAGGGGCTAGACTAACCTGAAGTGTTTTCTCATTCCTGACGCATAACATACCGACGATTTGTCATGTCCCGAGGCGGCCCATGGGAACGCGAAAGGTAACCTTCTGCATCCCTATGATATGTTCCAGATTGGGGATGAAATCCAATAGTATGACGCTCCTGACGCTAAGACATGTTCCAGCCATGTATTCCAGCCCCAAACCTAGCCTTAACGATAACCTTATCCCTAACCTTAACCACAACATCGTGTTAGAAAGTGTTTTCCAAAGAAAGTAAGATGAATGTACACGTGTAGATTCAGTCTTCTCATGTTTATTCCTGTTTCCGCACATGTAACATAGGAACGTGTTGGGTGGCCGAAAGCGTAACATACTGACAATTTGTCACATAGTATGTTATGCTTTTGGAGTGAGAACGTGTTGAATTTTTCATAGACTTCTATACATCTTATCAATATAAGAAATGCAAGACCTGACCCTCCTGCTGTTAGTGAACCTCCAGCTCCCCCGTCCCTTCGTATGTATAATGTGTTTTTTTAATGTTTCCCATGAGGTCTGTTAGACTAGTGATATCTCGCATACAGCTTCACTTTAAGACGTAAGTGCATGGTGCTAACAGCATCTTATTAATGTGGTTCGGTTAATTTACTGTAGACTAACTGACATTTCAGTAAGGGGATGTGTGAGTGTAATGCTGATCCTGTAGGTGTGTTAATCTGACGATTACAGCATCCAATCTTATCAACACAATAAAAACGCACGCACTCATGTGTTGTTCCTCTTGTAGGTGTGGAAAGGTTAAATGTGTCTGAGAAAGGTCATGGAGATGGAGAGATAAGTAAAAGGTCTGTGTGTGTAGGAGATAATAATGGATTGCGTTTATATAGTTTACTTACTATATACTTTACAATACCCCTATTCATTCACACACTGGTGGAGGCTACAGTTGTAGCCACAGCTGCCCTGGGGCAGACTGACAGAAGCGAGGCTGCCATATCGCACCATCGGCCCCTCTGGCCAACACCAGTAGGCAGTAGGTGAAGTGTCTTGCCCAAGCTCGAACCGGCAGCCTTTCAATTACAAGATGAACTGCCAACTCTTGAGCCACGATCGCCTCAATGTACAAGCTGTTGTCACAATTCCACTTCAGGCTGAAATACTTTTATTCCTACACACTGTTAATTACTCCTGAAGATAAGCCCTTTGGTCACTTTATCACCAGATTTAGGTTTAATGAGCTTTTTATTAAAAGAATCACTGATGTGGAGACACAAGAGTGCGAGCAGGTCAGTCTTTCCTGCCATTTCAGTGATATATCAAAATGAGAGCTCAGATTACTGAGATCCTCACCACTACCACTTCAAGGAATTTCACATACAAGTGAGTCAGAAGGATAACCTAATCCATAGCCCCATCAATCATATTGAATGGATATGTAGTTTGATTAAAACATCTGCTGAAAACACATTTTAGAAGGACAGCATTTTTTTGTATTTAAATTTGCGACATATATATATTTAAATTTGCATTTTCAATATGCATTTCATTTCATTTCGTATATGTGTGTGTGTGTGTGTGTGTGTGTGTGTGTGTGTGTGTGTGTGTGTGTGTGTGTGTGTGTGTACTTTTCCACTTTTTTATACCCCATGTTTCAGGTTTCCCAGTAAAACTTCTGTTTTTCAATGGGACTTTTGAATGGCAAAAACAGCAAACTCACCATATGGAGCTTTACAGCTAAACAGTGCCTCCGCTGTCACCCTGTCACCTGCATCCGTGGTTGCAGGTGCCAGGGTGGGGGTATCGATGTAAGCGTTGCAGGGGCGGGTTAGGGCTCCGCGTGACCAAGGATGTGGGAGGATCGGATTTGTATAAAGTGGATCAGGGTCCGGGTTCCTCTCACCTGTGCTGCACTGAAGGACAGGACTGAAGCGAAGGCTCGTCTTCTTATTCTTATTTTCGTGCGCTCCTGGGAGTTGGTTTAATTTTTTAAAAAAAAGGAAGCAACGGGAAATTTAAACCTGCAGCAGCAAACTGCACGGGACTGTGACGATTTACTTCCATCCATTAGAAAGTCTACAGCTGACAAGTGAGTGATTTTTTTGCTGGTTTAAATGGAAAACATTTAGACCGCTACTGTCTCTTGTTTATTCTTGTGGAGATATTAAAGTCCGTATGTTTAAGAAAGGATGATGATAATGGTATGTCAGTACATGAAGTGATTTTATTCACAGTGTCTAATGAAATCTTGATTGCAGTCATGAGCCGCTGGTTGGTGCTGCTGGTCAGTTTCGGGATCGCGCTTTTGGCGTGTTCTCGCTGCGGGCAGGCGCGCGTCGGACAGAATTCCGTCAGTACGGAGATCCTCGGGGACAGTGACGCGCTGCCGATAAACAGGAGCGCGTGGGAGCCGAGAGTGGACCTGACGGTGAGTGTGTTACCACGATGCGTGTTTCAGTCTGAGGGGGTTCACAGAAGTCTCAACAAGTCTGTGCTTTGAAGTCAATCAAATCAAACATTTGCCTCTCACACAATTTAAAGTTGCACTTCATAGAAATGTAATGGCAAGTAAGAAATGAGTGAAAAATTTATTTTTATAGGAACTTTCTAGTTGGATAAAACAAAGGGCTAATCAATTTAAAAGCCAAAACAGCATTGGTTACAAAAGCACATTTAAACAGATGACTTTTTAGCTGCTTTTTAACCGAGTCCACAGATCTCACTAGATTATATTTACATATATAAATATGACTTTTAACTAATTTACTACTAATTAAAGTTA